CCGTGGGACCGTTCCCAACGGATCCAGCGAGCCTTGGCCTGATCCCTGGATGAGACCTAAGGTGGCTCCAGGGTGCAGGCCCTGGCACCCATGACTTGCAGGCCTCTGGGAAGGCCAGGCCCAGCCCCCAGCTAACAGCAACCGGGCCCAGGGTAGGACATGAACAATGTCCCCTTTGAACCTAGGGCTGCATCCCCAACAGGCTTGGTTCCCAGCACAGCTGTCTCCTCACAATGCTCAGCCTCTTGGCCTGAGCATCCACAGCTCTGCCCACCACAGGACCAGCCAAAGGCCCTCTTGTTCCCGGTGCGGGCAGTTTGCTGCTGACGCCCCTCCCCCTCGGCCATGAATGAGGAGCCTGAGGCTTGGGCAGTCAGCCTGGCCCTTGACTCGCTCTGACTCCGGACAAGTGCCCTGACCTCTCTCTGCCTCAGCTTTTTCATTCTTTCAATGAGGATGATGACCTCTGCCTGCAGAATCTCCCAGAAGAACCTGATTTTTTATTATTAAAAAATTTTTCATTTAGAAATAATTTTAGACATACAAAAATTTTACAAAAACAATATGAAGAGCTACTGTTCCCTTACATTACAGATTCTCCAGTTGTTAACATCTTACATAACTATGTTACAAAGACCAAAATCATTAACATTGATACAATACACACTGTTATATAATCTATAGACCTTGATTCATATTTCTCAACTTGTCCCTCCAGTGTCCTTTTCGGGTCTAGGATCCATTGCAGAATGACATGTTACTTGTCATGTCTCTTTAATTTAAAAAAACCTGGAATGTTAAGGGGCTTGAAAAACTGTCAAATCCCACTGCCTACTGGGGGTCACCCAGTGTCCCCCAGGCGGGCATCGTGAGCCTGTTCTCTCTGGCTGGGAACCACCCTTGCTACCTGCCCGTCCTCTCAGGAGGCTGTGGAAGGAGCCTTGCCCATTGTTTTCCCATCTAGGCTGTGGGATTCCTGCCATCTCCTAGCCCTCATGAGCTTAGAATTTTGGCTTGGCTTTTGAAAGTGGGTGAAAGCGAGAAAACCTTCTCATCCTCTCCCTCTTGGAATTTGAAAGCCATAGAGATCATCTGGTACATGCCCCTCATTTTATGGAAGGAAAAGCTGAATCAAAGAGGAGCAGTGACTTGCCTAAGGTGTCGCTGAGTCATGGCAGAGAACCCCCAGTGTCTAGAAACCCAGGTGCCCTTTCTCCTGTCCCACATCCCAGGCTTGGGTCCCTGCGCTGAGATGCTGGTGGCAGTAGCCAGGCGGGAGGCCTGCCTATGCCTGTTCTCCAGGCGCCCACCAGACTCCGAAGCTTGTGTCCTGAGTCCCTGTAGCTTACTTACCTAGGCCTGGGACAGACCCCTGCTGTGAGCATGGGCTCCCCCACTGAGGGTTCATATCTCCTGCTTTCTTTTCCCCAAGGAGCTGGATGATGGCCTGGATGAAGCATTTTCAAGGTAAAATTAGCTGGGCTCCTTGTGCTGGGGAAGGAGGCTTGGCACTAGGGGGCTGGTCTCCAGGGCCCTTTGCCATGTCTGAGAACATGAACTAACCTTCTCCAGAGCAAAAATCTCAACTTGAATATTTCCAGGGGCGGGAGCTCCTGTCTGGCCAGGTCTGCTAGAAAGTTCTTGCTGTTGATCTATTTTTAGTGGCTGCTATACCACAGTTTGAGCCGAACTGAACACACTGCAGCTCAGGTTGCTTCCTCTTCCTACACCTGATGTCACCTTCAAAAATGGGCTTTTTTGGAGGCTTTGTTCCCTCCAGAGGTTTTGCGTTTATGGAAAGGGGCAGGGAGGAGACAGTGTTTAATTGAGCCCACGGGGCGTTACACAGAGGAGGGATGTGAGGCCCGTCGGGAGATACTTGGTCTAGCCTGAGGGTGGTGGCATTTCCCCATTTTCCCAGGGGGCCATCTCTGTCCGTGGCTACCTTCAGCTTGGGGACCCACCACTGAGAAGGCTATGGCTAAGGAGAGACTCGGGCAGCTCAGGCTTCCAAGCGCTGGGCCCTGATCAGTCAGGCCTCCCTTTCTTCCTTGGGACCCTCGGCCACCCACTACAGCCCTCTCCACCTCATCCTGCCAGAGCTGGTGGAAACCCTTCTGCCCAGCCCTGGGGAGCTGGGGGAGTGGCGTGTGTGGCCCTTCGTGATTCTTTTTACCATCTTTCCTGCTTCCCTGGCTGATTTCAACCCCCTTATTTGAAGGAAATCTTCCATTTGCTTTTTCCAGATTACTCAAGTATCACATGCCCTTAATTAACAACTCCGAAAGTCAGCATTAAAAGCATTAAACAGGAAATAACACCATTCCATAATCCCACAGCCCGGACTTTGGGGCTTAATTCATGCTAATTCTATACATAGACTTTTTTTGCATTGATCAGCTCCTCATATTTGTATTTGGGGATCCTGATTTTCATTAACACCAACATATCAGGAGCATTTCTCCAGGATGGTAGAAACTCTTTGTAAACACCTCATTCATTGACTGCCTTATGTTCTTTTAAGGACATAGGCCATAATTTACTTACCTCTCCCCTATTCTTTGGACATTTAGTTGTGCCTGTTTTTGAATTTACTTTTTGAAGAGCAGTATGTTGAGTGTACTTAAAGCCAGTAGTCTTCCACGGTTGTCCCAGACTTCCTCCCACGCATGCCTCTCGCTGTCCTTGCAGCACTGCTCTTTTTCTCCTCTTTCCTGGGCATTTCCTCATGGAGCCATGGATGGCGTGAATGCCACTACCTGCCCCACAGTTTTCTGAGCCTTTTCACCCTCGAGGCTTGGTTCTCTGGTTAGAGGCTCCACCTCTCCTGACATGTGGGACTTTCTTCTTTGGCCCTGTGTCCAGCTACTTTCCCACCCGTGCCCTCTCACTTCTGACCCTGGCACTGGCCATGCTGGACTGGCACCTCAGCCCCCGGCTCACACAGCTCTGCCTTCCAGGCTGGCCCAGTCTCGGACGAACCCTCAGGTCCTGGACACCGGACTGACACCACAGGACATTCATTACGCCCAGTGCCTCTCGCCTGTCGACTGGGACAAGCCTGATAGCAGTGGCACCGAGCCGGATGACCACTTCAACTTCTGAGGGCCTGGGGCTGGCAGGACACGTGACAGACCAAAGCCACCCACGTCGGGGGCAGGGGCCAGCTATAGGACCCCTAGCCACATTCTTCCATTCGACAGTGCTGTCAGCCTGCAGATCAAAGCGGCAGCCAGTCAAGCAGAAGAAAGGAGAGGTTTTTCTTTTTTAACCCTGTTCTTTGAGAACTGAAAGATGCCTTGAATATTTATTCAGTGACTCCTGGTTCAACTCCGAAGCTGGTTTTGCATCAGCACAAGCACAGTGTTATAGCCAGCTTTCTGCCCTCTCTTGAGCGAGCTCTGCTCTGCTGTGGGTGTTGGGATGGTAACCAAAGCATTTCTTGTCCCTTTTCTCTAAGGACCCAGGTTTCCCTGGAGGCGCCCCTGCTCCTTACTGAAAGTAGTGGGATCATTCATTTCTGTCATCTTCTGAACACAGGAGGGCACCGCAGCCTCGGGAGAGGACTGCATCCTCAAGCTTGCCTTCCGTGGGGGCCCCAGCGGGCCCAGGCTTGAGCCCCTGACCCCGGGGGCTCAGAGACGGAAGGGCAACCCCTGACCAAAGACAACACGTGGCTGGCACTTTAAAGCACACACAGCAGGTGTGGCCCCCGGGCTCCTCCATGGTGCTGCATTGCATAGAACTTTCTTTCTGCCCTTCTTCCACGAGAAGGGGCCCAAAGTCCCCCTGGCAAGTCCCCATCAGTGCTTGGAACCAGTGTAACTGGCTGCCCACAGACTCCCAGAGCCTGCCTGTGACAGTGGGGGTCATCTGTGTGACTGCTGTCTGGTAGAGCTCCTCCCTTCTCCTTCCATGCAGACGAGGTTTCCCCAAGTTTCTGTCCTTTCTGAGCCCCACCTCCCCATTATTCCCGAGATAATGCGTGAAACCTAACACCTGGATTTGTTTAAGAAGTTGTTATTGCCATTTTATAGATGAGGAAACTGAGACCACAAGTGTGTAAGGGGTAGAGTCAAGAGTAGAACCCAGATCTGATGCCAAAGCTGCCTTCTCACCCACACCTTTCACCACTCACACTTCCTTTTTTCCTAGCTTTGTTGTCCTCCCAAGAACCAAAAAGCCCCAGCTATTTTCTGACCAAAATGTGTTTCATAACAAACCATCTGGTGCCTTTACACACAGAACTGGCATGAGCCTGTATGCCCTGCTGTCTCGCTGTTGATTTCTGTGAAAATGGAAGTGTTTGAAGTCTGCTAATTCAGAGGGTGAAACAAAACCAAACTTCGTAAGCATCACACTGTTCCTTCCTGATGCTCAGACTCCGGGTCGGGGATGTACCAGCAGCAGCCTGTCTTCAGCGTCTCCTTCCTTCCTCCCCCTTCACTACCCCCAGGGCTCCCAACAAAGCCACCAGCACCTTCTCCATCTTCTGGTGCCTCCCAGGCCTGGCTTTACTGAGTTTATGTCCCTGATAGTGTTGGAGCAGGTCTCATCAGCCCAGGAAGCATACTGTTTCTTAGAATCTACTTATCTAAGCGTCTGAATCAGAACAGAGGCAGAGTGCCTGGGTGAGGGGTGGGGTGGGATTGTCTTTATCAGAATAGGGGAGTAGCTTCCTTTCCCTGGCCCAGCTCCTGCACCCCTGCTCCCGATGCCAGACCTCCTTGGTGTCAGCCCCTATATTTGTCACGAGGCAGCAAGGGTTGAACCTGAAACAGGCTGCCCTTGGCACGAGGGTCCAGGAGCCCTGAGAAAGGCCATGCTGTGTTTGTGTGAGTCACACTGTGGCCTTCATCTGGTCTGTGACTGATAACGGTCAGTGTGCTCCCAGTGCATCTGCTGATAAGTTTTGTTGTGCTTTACTTTGTGTTGTTATTAAGGAAGTTCTAATGAGGAAACAAATAAATAATAAATGTTCTCTTTTTGAAATACAAAGAGCACTTGGATGGAGCGGCCTGGTGGCCGTGTAGGAGTGCAGCCTCGGGCAGTGCCTGCCCTGGGGTGGTTGGAGCAGCAGTGACCACAGGCCCGGATGTGAGCGATAGTGGTCTCTGGTCCCCTGGCTGAAGTCAGTGGGCTTCCTTCTTACTCAGCAGATGGAGTGTGTGATGAGGTCATCTCTGGGTAGCTCAGTGAGCTCAGCAATGAAGAGGTCTCTGAAAACTTAGGGCAGGGCCTTCTAACCAGGATCTGTGACCCTCTGAAATGTACTATATGTGTGTGGGCCACATGTACATTTTTCTTAGGGAGGGTGTCTATTGTTTCCATCACATTCTCAAGTGGGTCCATGAAATATTCATTTGATTGACTTCATGCCGAACCAAACCAGGCCTGGGGCTCAGTGCTGGGGACAGCAGTCCTGACACCCTGACCACTCAGGATGTGTGGCTTGGGTGTGGTTGGGGACTGGGTTGGGAGATGGTGGAAAGTACGTCCTAGTGACTTGACTCTGCCCCTTGGAGGCTATGACACTGGATCAGCCACTTCTCTTGAGCCTTAATTTGCTCATCTGGGAAAGGGGCACAACAGTCTCTACCCTTTCTGCCTTCTTGGGTTTTGTGAGACTCAGTGACAATTATATTGTTGGTGGATGTGCTTAGATGGCTCAAGGGTAACCTCAGAGGAAAAGGCACTTTGGACCAAATACATTTAAGAAAGTCAAAATAAAATTGATAATAATGGTGGCTACTGTTAACTGAGCTCTTACTCTGTGCCAGGGCCTGTGCTGGGCTCTCAGCTTCATCTCATCACAGTGGGCCCATTGAGCCCAGTTGGTACGAGCTCTCTTTACTGCTATAGGCACCAAGGCTCCAGTCCGTGCTTCTAGTACTTGGCAGAGCCACAGCCCAGACCTAGATCTCTGTGACCCTCGACTCCGCCATGTCCTGGTCCCCCAGGAGCCACGTCTGGGGTTGTGCTGCCCATGGCCTCCTGTCAAGTTGCACAGAAAGGCCGCTCTCTTCAGGCTCCAGTGGGGGGTCTCCTCAGACATTTATCTCTTTGTCCCTTTCAAACAGTGATAAAAGTATCCCGAACCAGGGCGGAGCCCTCTGATGTCAGCCGTCGGGCAGACTGGCTGTGAATTCCAAGCGGTTGGTAGATGACTAAGAAATTCTCTCCTTTCTTCTTCTCCCATAATCTGAAAAGACACCCAACAAGTTCATCTTTCGGTTTAAATTTGGCCAATGCCTTTAGTCTCCGGATGTCTCGAATTATGAATCTTGAGCATCCGCCATCTGCTCTTTTATGCATAACGGATGAAGCCGCAGAGAACAAAGTCGCCTTTCAGATTTGATGTGACCTTCAGCTTCCCTGGGTGGATGTTGGGGTCTTCTCTCCCAGGAGGAGAGACTGTCCCAATTAAATCTCTCCAAGCACTTGCTGACAAGCCTGGATAGGGCATCTGGGTGGATCCTGTGCCCTTGGTGCTGATGTAGGGTCTGGTCTGCACCCAGCCTTCCTCCCTCTACCCCTCCCTGTGCACAGATCACCGAGGTGGCCTCTGTTATCAGGGGTGAGCTTTTCTCCAGGGCTTACATGCCAGGCCCTGTTAGTCCTTTACACCTAACATCAGAGATGTTACTCCTAACAACTGTGCCAAGAGGTGGATGTTCCTAGTCCCATTTTCCAGATGGGACAATTGAGGGTCAGAGAGGATAAGTGAATTGACCAAAATCTCACAGCCAGTAAAGAGTGGACCTAGGATTTGAACCCCAGTCTGCCTGTTGGCAGAGCTTGTGTATTTCTACAGCACCATCCACTCTGGAGTGAAGGGCAGACCCAAGCCGCTGGCCATGCCCTGCTCTGGGGAGCCTTTGCTCGGCACAGATGGGAGCGGCAGAGCCTAGGCCAGGCTCGGTACCTAGCACAGGGGCCGTCTTCACAGACTGGTCCAAACAGATCCTTCCCATTTCTAGGTGGTGCATTGGGGCTGCTCCTCTGCACACGTCTAGGTTAGGACTTGGCAGGGCACATCTCATCACATTGGGGCTGTTTTGTCCGCCGCAGGCACTGCCAGGCTGTGGTGGGTAGGAGGCAGGGGTAAGGCCCAGAATGAGGTTTGGTGTCCCACAGAAGAGGAAGGCTTCCAATAGGAGCAGACTCGTGTTGTGATGGTGAATGCCAGCCTCAGAGGGGCCTGGAAGGAGGGGAGCATATCTCTGGGACACTAGCAGCATCTGAATCCATTAGCTTAAGCTGCTGCACAGTGACTATGCTAATAGACAGTATTAGCCTATTTTAGAGACAGTGACACTGAGGCCCACAGAGCTTATGTGACCTGCCAGCCTCCCACAGCTGGTAAGAGGCAGGCCTGGGATTCAGAGCCCATGTGTTCTCCACTGTCCTAAAGTGGCCCTGTCACTCTGCAGATCACTTGGAGCATTTGAACAACACAGTGTTCTTGCTTACTTAGGAGCTTCTGAGTCCAGCACAGGGTAACCTTAGCCAAGTGCCCAGCACCTGGATGCTGGCTGAGTCAGGCTGGTGGCTTTGCTTCCAGTCAGGACAGATGCAGGCTGGGTCACAAGTCCTTGTTGCCAGGCAACAGTTCTGACTGCACTTGCTGAGCCCCAGAGTGGGGTTGGGCTGCCAGGGCCTGTCTTGACATCTTCACAGTCCAGGGATTGTGGGTTATGGTGCCCTGGGAAGCTCCTGGGTGTGGGCTAGGTTTGTACCACACCAGGGGGACATTGGAAGTCAGCTGGAAGCCAGGGAGGGTTCCTAGAAGAGCGGAATGTTCAAGCTGGGCCTGGAGGAGGGTAGGAGGGTTGGAGACTGCCTTCACTAGTCTGGGAGCTCCGAGAGGTCGGGGCCTGGGTTTAAGTCACCTGTAGCTCCAGTGCTCAGCCTAGCACCTAGCCCAGAGTGGCCATCAGTGACTCAAGTCAGCTCATCAAAAGGGTGGCAACCAGCCTAGCTTCCTGTGAGAACCTTCTGAGCGCAGCGGCAGCCTCGGATCAGCGAGCAAGGCTGGAGCCCCTGCAGCCCAATGATCTGCTTTGCAGGTGATCTGTTCTGGAGGCCAAGCCACCTGGTGGCCGACTTCCCCATGTACACTGGACTTTGGCTCTCTGGGTCTCTATCACACAGTCAGCGGCCTCCCACACCAGCCCAGCCTGGTTTGGTAAAATATGTGTGGTCCACTCCTCTGCCCTGAACAAAGATCTTGATTTTCAATATGTCTTTAAAGTGGAATTCTAGAATGTCAGTGCTGGAAGAGCGCATAACTGTCCTCCATCCCACCCTCTTTGCTTACAATCAGGAACTGAAGCCCACACATGGGCAGGACCTCCCCAGGCCATGTGGGCAGTTGAGAAGCAGAGCTGAGATTGGAGCCTTATTCTTTTACAGGGACCCTATGCCCTGTGCTTCACCCACCCCATAAAGAGGAGAGAGAAGCCCCTTCCCCACGTGTTCTGGAAGAGGCCACATGCTTGAGGTCTGCAGGGCTTGTGGGAAGTGGAAATGATGATGATAAGAAGAGGTGGGAGAGAGGGCCTTGGTGAATTCCCAAGCACGTGATGAGCATCAACTCATCGCTCGTCTCTTCATTCTTCCCCCTCCTCGAAGGCCCCAAGGTCTCATCTGCTGCTTGAGCTGCTGGCACAGATGCCTGGAAAAGAGAGCTGAGAGTTGTGCTTAAGAGCACGGCCCCTAGAGCCAGACTGGGGTTTGCATCTCAGATTTGCCACTTACTAGCCACGTAAATGACTGAAGAGCAAATGACTTGACAGCCTGGGTCTCAGTTTACTCGTGTATAAAATAGGATAACAGCTCTGTCCACATGGGGATGTTGTGAGGAGTAAATGAGTTAATGAAAGAGTCTGTGCTTGCAAGATGCTGAGAGCACCATCCACTGTGACTGTCACTTTGACTTGATCATTGCTGTGAGGGCTGCTTGGTGGGGGAGGAAGGGAGGACCAGTCTCACCGCGGGGCTGCGGCGCACCCAGGACGGTAAAGGGGGAGGAGACAAGTCATGTCCCACCAGTTTCCACCCTGATGCCACCCAGCTGCATGCTCTGGCCCCTTCCCACCATCAGAGTATGCCCCCAGGAGAAACTCTAGAAACTTCAAAGTCCAGTCGGAATTCAGGCAAGAAAACATTCCACTCTAGCTGCTTGAAGTAGGAAATAAGTCTCTTAATAGAGATTTGGCTTGCAAAGCCATGGGAAAGGCCAGAGGTATGACGAGGCCTCTGCAAGGGTTCAGGGAGTCAGAAAAGTCTGGAGTTGAGGAAGCTGCCACCATAGGCCAGGCAGCCCGCTGCTTCTCCGGTTCTGTGTGATCCAGTCTCACAGGCAGAAGCTGAAAGTGGTTCGCAAGTGTCCAGCCCCCCAGATACGGGAGGGCACATAGAAAGGAAGGGAATTGGTTCTGAGACCACCTGACACTCCTGGGGGAGGCGGGGGAGAGAAATTCGGTCGGTTGGACTGGAGAAAATTTCATTGCCACACAGCTCAGGTCAGGTGCTGTGCTGAGAACTGGCACATCACCTTCAGTCCCCACCACAGCTATGTGAGAGGCGAGACCGAGAGGTGAAGTGACAGAACCCACTGTCTGCATGTCACCTCGAGCCCTGCTCCTGGATGCTCCCGGAGTCATTCATTCAGCACCCACTGAGCACCCACTGTATGCCAGGCTGCGTTCTGGGTGCCTGGAACATGGCAGCAAACCAAATAACAAAGTTCCATCTCCATGGAGTGGCATTCCACTGGGAGAGGGGGATGCTGACCCTCCCCCTGCCCACATATATGGAAATACTCTATGTGGTGCTCAGTACTATGAAGAGAAGGGGATAGAGGGGGCAGTGGGGCAGTGCTGCTTTATACGGGGTTGGGGTCAGGGACGTTTCAGAGGGACCTAAAGGAAGTAGGGAGGCACACATGGCTCCTGTAGGAAAGAGCACTTGAGACAGAGGAGACAGCAAGTGCA